GTGGCTAATTCTCAATAAGTCCCTCTGCTGGACTGGTTGTTTTCCATCGAATCCTGATACACAAATCTGCTTCCGAAACGAAAGTAAGAAATTATAGGTGAATTTCATATTGGGCACCAAATTATTATACTAACTGTCAAGAATTTGATACATTCACTACCAAATAACTTTATAGTAGGTGTGTTAGAAACTAGGAAAACCAGATAGATATAATTTTTATTGATTTTAAGAAAACTACGCCTTCAGCCGCTTCTAAAATTGGAATTAACGGAAACACGTTGAAATGACTAGGCACTTAGGTAAAAGCAATTAAATTGTCACCTTTAATGCCCATATTTCACGTAAAATCCGAGCTATGTCTGGACTGCCCTAACTCTACGTTCACCCTATTTATTAATGGCATTTCTACCTTATCACTGAACAATACAGTCCTATTATTTGTGGATAGTTTGAAGAATACGTCGACATAGAAATGAATCTAATTTTCTTGGAAAGACTAGGCAAAATTAATAGACTCTGTCAATAAAAAAGATCTGAGAGAAAACATCCTCACAAACATTACACTTGGGTCAAGCGGCTCTTCGAAATATCCATTCCTTTTATGACACGAGTAACGAAGAGGAGACTAGATATCCCGAATCCAATAACCTCCTGGTAGCGATAGAACCAGGGGGTAGAAACAATGTTCGTGATCTACGGATCAGGAGATTATTGGCATAAGCCTCGATACTCCAAGCGTCGCAACGTAGAACCACACTCAATGTCCTGGACTGCTTAGGTGAATTCCTATAAATGTACCCCCGAGATTAGTAAAATCTCTCCTTTTATTCCGATCAATAAGATACAGAAGCAAACTGGATCGTAGTGACAACACAATCCAAATAAAATAGAAAATAAGAGCTGAGTCGAACCTTAGATTCTTTAAATCGAATCAAGTAAACTTCAAGTAAACTTGACTGTTCAAGCAAACTTGATTGCCCAAGTAAACTTGATTGTTCAAGGAAACTTGATTGTTTAAGCAAACTATATCAGATTGCATTTTCTCAAGTTTGATCAAGTATTCAAGGTACTTGGATAACCAAATATTTGACTTGATTGGAAAAAAATAAGTTTCGTCTTGATTTAAATTAAAAATCGAAATTTTAATGCGAGCTTCTGAGGGGTTTAATGAATCTCTGTCATTAGAATTAACACCCTGGACCTCAGTGTGTGACCCTACTCTTCCGTACAAAGCGCTGAATGGTCATATAGCGAGACCACAATTCCTTGAGCAAATTAACATAAACGCTCCAGAAAGAGGGGACAGAAATTTCCGTTTGTTCAAACCAAAGTTCTATTTACCTCGGTACGAGCACACGGATTCTATCGCCAAATTATGCGAGCAAATATTTCAGCAAATAATTCTAATAATAAACTATTGTTCACGGCTTGAGAATGAATGCTGTGCGTGTCATTTCCGACTAATATTTCTTGTACGTACACACGGTGTCTCCGGACTGGTAGTGCGACACAAAAATGGGTCAGTCTAGAGGAAAAAATAATTCGAAAATCTAGAGTGACGTTTTTCCGTACGAAGTTGGAAATAAATCGATGTTGAATATTCGTCGAGTATGGGTCCACTTATAATCTCGCACCACTATGTGACAGATGTCACTGCGGCGCTTATATCGATGTTCGCATTTTGTTTACTAATAATAAAGGATGAATAATGAAATAAAAATATTTTTTCCTCGAGAATTTTAATTCATCAGTGTAAAAGTTGCTAACAGCCCCAACTTTTGTGTTGTTAACGTTTTATAAAAACTACAACAAGCTCTACCGTTGGTAATTTTTATAAATGCAAACTATATATAGTCCACAACATAATCGAGTTCACGCACAGTTGACGAACCATTGGCATTTATTTTGAAATGAAGTTTTAATACAAAAATGTGAATTTGATGTACGATTTCGCCAACGATTTCATTTATCATTTTTTCCTTTTTTTTTCATCACATTGGTGCTGACGATCAATGAAACGACAGTCTGGCTGGTGGGAGCCGGGACTGGGCACGATGGTACGCCTTCAAATTTGTCAAACAAAACAATGCACTCGCGTTATAGCACCAAAGCTGAAACTTTTTTTGCTAAATATTGACTCGAATAAAAATGATATAATGACCGTCTGGCAATATTTTGTCGGAATTCAATTTATAAAATGTTGGAGTACCCAGACAACGTAGTACTAAAACTGACATGTGGTCTAACAATAGTTCACATAATAAAATATAAATAAAACATCATTCTCCATTTTTGTATTATGTGTACTTATAATTTTATGTAATATATAACGCATTTGATTCTAAAAAATGAAAACTATTTTTAGTTCGTAATGCACGATAGCTAGATTGCAGATTCTATGTATCGTATAAAAATTATTCAAGAAGATTGTCTACCTATTTCATTGATAAATTGAATTTATATCATAGTACTGAAACAGCTCTTTTTAAAATCACTGATAGTGCCAGAAAAATAATTCGTGACAAGAGACTGGTAACAATAGTATTCTTTGATTCGTCCCAGCTATTTGTAAAGCTGACTGATTAGTTTGGGACGCTCAAACACTATTATTAACTGGTTTCGCGCATAGTTCTATAATTGTTATTAGACCGTGTAGAGTGTAAGTGGCATCAGATCCTCCTGACATCCTATTAAATTAGGTGTACCTTGGGGAAATATTCCCGGCCCTCTGTTATTCTCCATTTATATAAATGACCTATCCTCCACTGTATTATACTGTAAGCACATGCTGTATGCAAATGACTTTCGAATTTATCATCTCTATTATTGTAATAATCTACACGAATCCACCCAAAAAATTAGAAGTGGTGTGAATAGTATCTTACAATGGACTTCACTAAATCACAAAGGTGCCAAAAAATTGATTGAAATAAGTATACAAACCAACTATAATCCACAGATGTTGATTTTGTATTAAAACACGATACATATAAAAACGGGTCAGAAATGACCCAACAAAAACTTAAACTACGAATTATTAGCTTCTTCAAGCATTGTATCTTAATAGAGTAGGTATCCATTTATTCAAATTGGTCAGAGAACAAGATAGTTTAATAAGAGCCTATAGATTATCCTCCCTACTACTGTTTATTGGTTTGTACACTTAATAGGAGCTAAACAACATGTTCGGTAAACCAGGTACCGTGACAACATTAGTTCCGATAAATGGATTTCGGATAAATGGTGTTCTACTGATGCTACCAAGGGTCTGGGTTAGGTTAAACGATCGTTGGGAATGTTCAACAAATAAGAGACATTATTTGGAAGAAAAGACCCAAGAGAAATCGACCTTACAATAAAATATACTTTGATCGAGAGTCTTTGAGTACTTGATCATGATTCGAAAAGATTAGGAGGCTATTTGTCCCAAGTCTATTGATACGCTTCCAATCTTGGAATTCCAAACATTACCACGCAAAACTAAAAATTGCATTTATTGTATCGTTCCGTTAATTATCAATAAATAAATAATCAGTGCTTATACCCTATTCTATATCCACGTATCAACAGTGAATCGCAAAAATGGACCTCCGCCATTAAAAAATGGGTTTCGCCGTAGAACACTTTTCTCCAATCTTGTACAATCTACCCGACATACTTTTTAGCCCACAGCAGTCTTTGTTTCTTTGTCCGATCAGTTAGAAGTTGCCTCGTCTGGTCGAACAGCCTTTCTTCCATATTCTATGAGCCTTTTGTGTACCGTCGAGTCATGTATAAATTACTCCAGCCACGGTTAAATTTCCCTGCGAATCGAAACAAGTTTCTCCGAGGTTTATTTTGCTATTTCTGATTAAAACAGCTTCATCGCGATGGGTAGTATTTTTTTCCTCTCTCGTTCCTCTTTTTAACCGATCCGGGTTTCTCTTTTTCCGTTTTAAAATCTTGTTTATCGTCGCCTGACTCGCGCCACATTCTTTACCAGTATCTTTCCGCGACAACAGAGCATAATTAGCTGAGGCCGTAATCCATTCTCGTTTACTCGTAGCGATATTCATAAACAAAAGTTATTCGTTAAAGATACCGAAATATTCTTATTGTTGAATCGAGAATGTACGTTTCCATCAAAGTTTCGACGCTGGAAGTGCACTGCATTTTTACAAACATCGCGTTCCGTTATTAGTGGTACAATGGAAGGCAATTCCTCGCGAAGAAACAGTAAAGCTCTTTCGTCGGATGCTTCGTTTAAAAGAAAATCGAGTTTGAAAATTTATCTGGCACGCATGCATTAGAATTCGACCTGGACGCCAATATAAGTAGAAACGGTGAGTAATGGTCAGACGTGCCCGGCGAAATCGTATTCAATCGCACGGGTTACCCGACAAACTTTCAAATTCAATTACCTCAAAAACGAAGCGGAAGATACGGTTTAACTTCAATCTCTGTACTTTTCTATACACTAGATTCGCGGGGGCTGAGACCGAAACAGAACTCGTATTACTCGTTGATAATTAATATTGAATTTAATTGCTGTGATAATATAAACGTTAACCTAACGAATTTTAATAAAAATATGCGCGATACGTTGGTTATTCTTGGTTGAAAATATTTTTCAAAATTTTCTTCGAAATCATAATTTCTGCAAAAATCAAGTCGATTGAATGACTTGCTTCATTTGTGCAAAGAAATTGGCGAAAATACAGATTCAACTTACGAATCACAGTTGATTTTTTTTTGGGGGGGGGGGAATATAAGCGTTCATCTTACGAATCACGAAGCTCATTTTAAGAATCATCGCCCGAATCGTTATATTTATCCGATCGAAGCCAGAATCGGTATCCACCGGGGGCCACTGAGAATAAATGGCGGTAATTTCGCGCGATATTTCCGTGGAATATTCGCTCGAGAAACGGGGGGTCGGTTGCGCGTCGCGTCTCCGCGAAAACGTACACGCGCGTATCGCAAATGTAATAAGCCGCGCACCGTTTGCTCTCCTGTTTCAGATACGACCTAGAAACGGACAAGCTTTACTCCATCACGTGGTACAAGGATCACGAGGAATTCTACAGATACGTGCCTGGAGGGGAACCTACGAAGCACAGCTATCGCGTCGAGGGCGTTAAAGTTGACGTGAGTCGAAAGCCCTCTTGTGTCCCGCAACGTCGCGCAACCTTGTTCCGACTTCGGTATCAGATCTCTGCATTGCCGCGTTTCGCGCGAACAACGACTTTCCTCATCTTCCTTCCAACTTTATGGTCCGTCTTCGCCACTCTGCAAACATCCTTCCCCCTTCCTCTTTATACAGGGGCTCGGTTGAACAGCACGCCCCCCCGATGTCCATCGGAGAGTTTTGCTTTTAAAAGACGCAATCAAAACTGGGACTCTTAACCCTTAGCGTATCGAGGCTGGGGATCTTCCAGGAACCCTATACTTACTCTTTTTTTTATACCATACCTAAATGCTTGTAATTTTTCTATCTGTTGGGTTGGATGAAAAGAAATTGTTATACATACATCTCGTGTAACGTAAGTAACATCGTTTCACAATTTATAGAAACGTGTATTCTACGAAATCCTCTTAATGAATTATTTTATATCTTAACATAGATAACGAAAGCGAGAAATCGAAAAATATTGCACTCAAAGAGTTAATTTTCAGGCGTCGTTTGAGCTCCTCTACCACCCTCTATAAGAGATGAAACGTAAACCTGTTACACTCTGCATATCAGGCTAACTGTCAGCGGGAACGAACTATAAACTATTATAAATGAAACTTAGTTGTGTCTGTGCGTTTGCTGCCGTTGTGGGAAAACAGATGGAATTTAAAAGAGGTTGTCGGGGATATCAACTATGAAATGTACGACATCTCGCTGATAGTACCTTTCACAAGCGTTTATAACATACTTTGTTGGATATTAAATTTAAAAACTTTTTTTGGTCTATAGAAATTTTTGTTACACAGACACGACCGAAAAATAAAAACTGAAAAAAAAAAACTGTTGGCAGAGACTTCAACGCGGTCGAGGCCGCGGGGTAATAAGTAGTTTGATTACTAATCTCGATTGGCAGAGACAAAGTTAAACGATTTTCGCGATAAAATATTTAAAACGGACAGAATAATCTGTACTATCTTTTCCTAGATATTGTTGAATCAAACTTATAGATTATGTAGGTAAAAGATCAAGATTATGAGGAAATGTAAAAACCATTTTATATGAAATATTGTTCGAAGAAAATCTGAATTGACCGAAAGGAAGAGTAATAGTCATAATTGTAACATACATGATGAGTAAATGATTAAAAAGTCGAGACTTTTAATTATAATTAAATTTTTGTTGATCTTTATAGTATGAATGATCGTACCAATGGTTTATATCATTTTTAAAAAGACTCTTAAAAATATTATGACATGAAATTCGTGTGTGGAAATTTTTTCATATGAAGTGTTTAATTTAACCGAACCAGAGAGCGTTAAGGACTTTTTACACATTTTTTTCAATTTTGAAATTTGAATCCCTGGCCTATTTATCGATAATTATGTCAACTAAAAATATGAAGCGCAAAATAACATTTATGTGAATATTAATAAAAATTGCAGGAATTTGTATTCATGCTAGTTAATTTTAAGCTAGAAAACTAGCAGATGCTTCTGTCATATATTCGGCAGAACCAAATATTCTGATATCAAGTGAGCTGTCAGAAATACTCGATATCCGATCGATGTTCCTTAAATTATTCGAATCTCAAAACCTAATTACAAGTTACTAAATGCAACAATAGGTAAAATTGGATTACTTTCAGATGATAATAACGATTAACGATTATCTAAAAATATATTTGTCCATAAATCTCAAATGCGTATACTAGATGTACGAGATATAAACTATTTTTACTTTATTTAGGAGAACTGTGAAATTATGGAATAATGGTTTTGAGCTACTGCTGAGTAACACTAATAGAGTAGAATTTTTCAAAATTTTCCGAATTTTCAGGCTCCCGATATTCCATTGACAGTCGTGTGCTTATTCGAACAATTTTCAAAATCGATTTTCTCCGCTACAATGCATTGGACAAAACAAATTCAGTACCAAACCTTTACTTTTTTGTTTACGTAGACCTACTCGCATTCCAACTATAATACGATTATAAATTCATGTAAAAATTGCATGGAACAAGACTTGCAAGACTTTTTCTACTTTACTCTCTAATTTATCTTTAATGTTTTATTTCGTTATTAAATTTAAATACTAACATTCACTTTTTTTAAATTTGTGTCAAGATTATAAAACAAAACAAATATTTCTGACAATGGAACATACATATAATTGTCGCACTTTAATTATTTATACCTTAAAAATCTTTATTAAAATAATATTAATATTTTACATACACCAAAACAGATCACTCTATCATTTTGCAAAAGCACATCAAAGTCGTGTTCTTCTTAGTATGATCTATTCCAATTTTTATCACAACGACTTGGTCCCTCGTTTGCAAAACAGAAGCAACCATGTATGTTTCACAGCGAAAATTGCAGATGGATTTTAATTGCGTGGGTGTTGCTTTGCTCCCACGAATGATCCCTTATTCCTAATAACTATGCTCAAGTGGACGCCAGAAGTTACTCTCCGGCGATTAATGAATCGCGACCGAATATCGACGGTACGCGCGTTCTGAAATCCCACAAAGCTCGCGGAGAACCGAGAAAAATTCCATTTGCGGGGTTGGCTGGTAAAAGTAAAGAGAAAGAGACCGGGTTGGGTTTCTTTTCCTCGCATCCGACTTTAATATCCAGCGTATATAGACTTCTTTGTGCATTACGGGATACGCTGAAACGCGCGCAATTACCATCCCCCCGGCGAATATATACGATCGACCTACGGGAAACTACCCTTGTAAACGAGATTTTCGCCGTTTCGAGCAGCATCGAGCCATCGTAAAATCGTAAACCGTAGAAACTCGCCAGGAAATTATTTTCGGGAACGATTTTCGGGTTGCAGCGAAGTCGGTGGTCGCGCGACACACGGGAAATCGCGAATGTCGTTTACGCGTTCGACGCTGGGAACGCATGGAGTCGTAACGACGCCACAAAATATGAAAACGTGACTCTCTATTCCTGTGAAAATTAGTATATTAGAGTTTCTCGTGGTCGCTGGTTACAAATATGACGCCAAATTCAGTGTCTAATTAACCGTTCGTTGACAAATAAATGTTATGGATATGATATTATTACATTGACATTATTGAATTATAAATGCGAGGATATTGTCTGCTAGAACAAATTATATTAAAATTAAAGTATTTTAGATCATGTTATACAGGGTGTTTGGCATCTATACATTTACATTTGATTAAAAAACATATAACTCCGTTTAAAAAACAAACTTGACTTTCAGATAACCTCCAAGTTTTATTCGAGGCTTTTGCAATGCAACCAATAGTTTCGAAAATATTTCAACTTCCAGGAAACTGTATAAATGGTATTGCAACTCGTGTAAACTGTTTTCATTGCTCGAAAAAATTCGATTTGTCCCCGTTCCGGGCGTTTTTGCAGACTGTGCATCCCCCAGCGGTCAGTCTACGAGGTGAATCGAGAAATTGGCTCCGCGATCGTAAAGGCGTCCAGAGTGTGAAAGGTTTCCAGGGTGTGAAACGACCCGGACGACCCGCCGTTACCGCGTACGATGAATTCGCGTTTCTGACGGTCGTCGCGACGATTTCGAACGCGTCGAGCGCGAAGGGCGAAACTTGAAAGGCGTGGGAGCGTGAAACGCGAGGCGTACCTACGCCGACGCGGCGATAAACCACAAACTATTCGAATATTGGAGCGTTCCGAATCGCGATAAACGTAAAGTCCAACTACCGCTCGCTCGTTCCGGCCGAGTCGACCGCATTTGCACGCGCGGTAATGCGCGCGACCCTCGCTAAAATGAAAACGAAGAAACGGAAACGCTGGAAAGGGTGGGAGGGGTCCAGTTGCCTAATGCGTACGGGCCATTCCACGCTAAATCGATCAATTTTGTACCTCCAGGTCAGGAATTTCGATAGTATTGAAATACAGTCCGCGACACTCGATTAACGCTCCAATACGCTTCATCAAACGCGACAGTATTTTCTCAACGTTACTCTGAAACGAACCCCAAATCAACATATTCTACTTTTATTAAGAGACCATTTGTTTTGGACAGTTACTTATTCGGTATAGATATATTCGCGTCACTAAATAATGGAGAAAAATTTATTTCTAATTGTTGATTGTACGATGAAATCAACATATTCTACTTTTAAGTAATCATCTGTTTTCGATAGTTATGCAGCGGTTAGCTCGCACTACAAAAGAAACATTTGGCGTGCAAACGGCTAGCATGGTTTACGACAAGCAAAGCCGAAAAGGCCACTTTTGAGAAAGCCGTTTTCTCCGTATTTATAATGAGGCATGTTTTCTTCGAAAGTTTCCGACCGCTTCAATGGCGAATTGCACATCTCATAAACCATGGATTTCCGAAGGGCTGCAAGGCCGGGTCAAGCGACCTTCGGCGGGTGACATCGCCAGACCTGGGCCTGGAGGAAATTCCGCTGCATTGCCAAACTTCCATCGGCAAAAACACTCCACCACCGCGACACACCGTCTTCCCGAAAAAGCGCGCCAAGAGCGTAAGGAATAGGCGGCGACACAGAAATAGGAAGTACCTAATTGGTTTACTCCGACGCATCGAGTTAACCAATTAGGTGAATACGAAAAGAACTTGTAGAAAGAAAATTGTACGATAGTCAGTCTTCGCTACGGCTTCCAGCGACGAGTATCAACAGTCTCTTGAACAATAAAAAACACAAGACGAATTTAGCGAGTTTTCAGTATCACATACATTCCGACACTCAAATCCCTTTAGTTACTTATTCGGTATAGACATATTCGCGTCACTAACAAGGAACCATCGCGAACGGTCCGGCTTCGATTTTGATGAAACATTGTACACTTATAAAGCAGCCAAAAATAATCGGCACGTATTTTTTTTTAGCTGCGGTAACTCGAGTTTAAGGGGTGAAACCACCCCTTGAAGTTTTGGCTCGAAACGGCTCTCTCGAAAACGGAAAGAGATACAAAAAAATTGTTAATGGGCGAGGTTAATG